TTGATCTTGAAGTTTTTGATAAAATCTCAGTCAAATTCCAACTTTGAAGCCTAATTTCTCGAAGCCTATAGAAGCAATTGATTTAGTTTTTGAAGGTTTTATAGAGAATTTAATGCTCTCTCAGAAAATATATGATACAAGTTGATTCGTTGAGAACTACCAAAACTGTGAGCAAATGTATGAGACCATGTCAGATTTTAAGAAAATTTCTGAGACCAAAATTGAAATTTGCTTTTCAATTTTTTTTCTCATAAAATCAACCTCCTGGAAATAATCTAAGATTTGTTTCTGATTAATTTTGACCTACTCTTTCGATTGGGAAAGTCTATTTTACAAAAATTGAAAAATTGAAAATTTTGATTTTTCAATAATAGGCTATAGCTACCTTTGAATTTTTTATTCAAAATCTTTAATTGACAATATCTCAGTGAGTACAAGATGTATCAAATCGAATTTTTCTGAGTTTGTAGCTCTCATTGAGTACTTTAGTATATCATTTGAAAAATATTTTTATCACTTGTGGTTTTTGAGTTATTTGATCTTGAAGTTTTTGATAAAATCTCAGTCAAATTCCAACTTTGAAGCCTAATTTCTCGAAGCCTATAGAAGCAATTGATTTAGTTTTTGAAGGTTTTATAGAGAATTTAATGCTCTCTCAGAAAATATATGATACAAGTTGATTCGTTGAGAACTACCAAAACTGTGAGCAAATGTATGAGACCATGTCAGATTTTAAGAAAATTTCTGAGACCAAAATTGAAATTTGCTTTTCAATTTTTTTTCTCATAAAATCAACCTCCTGGAAATAATCTAAGATTTGTTTCTGATTAATTTTGACCTACTCTTTCGATTGGGAAAGTCTATTTTACAAAAATTGAAAAATTGAAAATTTTGATTTTTCAATAATAGGCTAGCCACCTTTGAATTTTTTATTCAAAATCTTTCATTGACAATATCTCAGTGAGTACAAGATGTATCAAATCGAATTTTTCTGAGTTTGTAGCTCTCATTGAGTACTTTAGTATATCATTTGAAAAATATTTTTATCACTTGTGGTTTTTGAGTTATTTGATCTTGAAGTTTTTGATAAAATCTCAGTCAAATTCCAACTTTGAAGCCCAATTTCTCGAAGCCTATAGAAGCAATTGATTTAGTTTTTGAAGGTTTTATAGAGAATTTAATCCTCTCTCGGAAAATGTATGATAAAAGTTGATTCATTGAGAACTACCAGAACTGTGAGCAAATTTCTGAAACCATGTCAGATTATAAGAAAATTTCTGAGGTCAAAATTGAGATTTACTTTTCAATTTTTTTTCTCATAAAATCAACCTCCTGAAAATAATCTAGGATTTGTTTCCGACTAATTTTGAGCTCCTCTTCCGATTGGGAAAGTCAATTTTATAAAAATTGAAAAATTGAAAATTTCGATTTTTCAATAGGCGACCTACCCCCTTTGGATTTTTTATTCAAAATCTTTCATTGACAATATCTCAGTAAATATAAGCGGTGTCAAGTCAAATTTTTCTGAGTGTGTAGCTCTCATTGAGTACTTCAAAACCTTTTCTAGAAAATATTTGTATCACTTGTGGTTTTCGAGTTATTCGATCTTGAAGTTTTTGATAAAATCTCAATCAAATTCCAACTTTGAAGTCTAATTTCTTGAAGCCTATAAAAGCAATTGATTTAGTTTTTGGAGGTTTTATAGAGAACTTAATCGTCTCTCAGAAAATCTATAATACAAGTTGATTTGTTGAAAATTGTTGAAACTGTGGGCAAATTTTTGAGACCTTGTCAGATTTTAAGAAAATTTCTTAGGTCAATGTTGAGATTTACTTTTCAATTTTTTTTCTCATAAAATCAACCTCCTGAAAATAATCTAGGATTTGTTTCTGACTAATTTAGATCTCCTCTTTCGATTGGGAAAGTCTATTTTACAAAAATTGAAAAATTGAAAATTTGAATTTCTTTGAATTTCTTATTCAAAATCTTTCATTGACAATATCTCAGTGAATATAAGATGTATCGAGTCAAATTTTCCTGAGTTTGTAGCTCTCATTGAGTACTTCAATACCTCATTTAGAAAATATTTTTATCACTTGTGGTTTTTAAGATATTCGATCTTGAAGTTTTTGATAAAATCTCAATCTAATTCCAAATTTGAAGCCTAATTCCTAATTTCTCAAAGCCTATAAAAGCAATTGATTTAATTTTCGGAGATTTTATAGAGAATTTATTCCTCTTTCAGAAAATCTATAATACAAGTTGATTCGTTGAAAATTACCAAAACTGTGAGCAAATTTCTGAAACCATGTCAGATTATAAGAAAATTTCTAAGGTCACAATTGAGATTTATTTTTCAATTTTTTTTCTCATAAAATTAACCTCCTGAAAATAATCTAAGATCTGTTTTCGGCTAATTTTGAGCTCCTCTTTCGATTGGGAAAGTTCATTTTATAAAAATTGAAAATTTTGATTTTTCAATAGACTAGATGCTGTATTCAAAATCTTTCGTTGACAATATCTCAGTAAATATAAGCGGTATCAAGTCAAATTTTTCTGAGTTTGTAGCTCTCATTGAGTACCTACTTAAATACCTCATTCAGAAAATATTTTTATTACTTGTGGTTTTTGAGTTATTTGATCTTGAAGTTTTTGATAAAATCTCAATTTTATTTCAACTTTAAAACTTAATTTCTCAAAGCCTATAGAAGCAATTGATTCAGTTTTTAGAGGTTTTATAGAGAATTTAATTATTTTTCAGAAAATCTATAATACAAATTGTACTCTGAACTCCTGCAGTTTTTCATCGTTCACTTTTTTATATTTGTTTTTGTTTTGGATTTTTTAGTTTCTCTATTTTTGTTTGTTTTATTGTGAATGTTCTCAATGTTTTTTTGTCTGTGATCTTTGCATAGTTGCTTTGCCTCGTATATCTTTCAGTCTCTGAAAGTTTTTTCTGTTCTCTGCTTTCATTTTCTATAAATCTGCCATCTGTGTGATCCTTTTGTTTTTAAATTGTTCTTTTTCTCTGTTATCTTTCAGTTTTTGAAAACCATCCTTTCAGCTGTCTTTAGTCCTTTTGTAACAATATGACTTTGTATTCTCTTATAATTTTTCATTCTTCTGAAAATTCTATTTCTTAGATTTTTTGGTTTAAAACTAATTCCTCAAATATCAAAAGTAATGAATTTAGGAAGCTTCCAGTATTGGTTCTTGAATTTCTTTGTCTTGGATTGAATCCTCAATAGATTATTAGTATGTTTTTCCCAACACCGTTCTAGAAGTTCCTCTACGATTTTTTTGAATGTAGAAATAAATTGCAAGTATAGAAAATAGAAATCTGTGGAAACCTCTTTTGAAAATTCTGGTGATGGTTCTTGAAGCTTATTTTCTAAAATTGATTTCCAAAGAATAGTTGATTGGTTTGTTGCTTTTTGATGTCTTATTTGAAGCATCTGTACCTAATTGAATTCTAAAGTGATTCCCCAAGGAATAGTCTACATATTCAACTGCAGAAAATCGTTTATGAAGCTTTTTCCTCAAATTGATTAATCAACTATTGCCCAATACAGTATTTGTCACTATAATTAATTCCTCCAAGCTAATGGTTTACCAGTGTTTTTGTTATTTCTAATCAAGAAAATTTCTATTACGTACTTTGACTGAAACCATAACACATTATAGCTTTCAGAGTCCTAATTTATCAGGAATCAACAGCCAATAAAAGATTGATTAAATAAACTGGCACTAATTGCACAACATCGGACAAGCAAACGTAATCAAAAATTCTTGAAACAAAACATCTCTCTCTGGAGCTGTTTTATTGAAATTAATCGGTTTCAATTTATCCCAAAGTATGGAGGAAAACCTTATGTTGTAAACCGACATTTTCCCATTATTGAAAGCAAACACCATGTAGTTCCGATAATAGTAACATTTTGTTATTAAACATTTTCTTGTTTGCTCTAGTTAGATAAAACGGCGATACAAGGCAAATTTTCCCTCATAAAAGTGGTATGTAAAGATAACTAAGGCTCGAGTTAATATTTTAATACTTTGAAGAGGAAAAAATGTGTTTTATCTTGATACATAATGCATTTTTATCATTGTTTCCTGTACATAAACCTATTTTAATCTTTATAGTTTCATAATGCTTCCAAAAAATAAAACCAGAGGCGTATCTTGGAGGACTCAAAATTGGTCATGGTAATTTAAATTTGTTCCATTGTAAAATAGGCCTAATTTCTCTTTGTTAAACTAGTGGTTCTATTATTACTGTCAAAATTTATTTTAAAACTGTTTATGTTAAATTGATGTTTTTTACTCGTTGGGGACATTGAAACCATTAAAAAATTTACTATCAATTTTAGTACATATTATTAGGTACTTTACTTTAAATTGAAATTGTAGGTAGGTACTTATAGCATAAAATTATTTATTGGTTTTAATTAGCCCACATTCTCTCAAGCTATTTTGTCTATATTTAAAAGCTTGCTTTTAGGTGCATATTGAATACTAAGTAGGAATGTTAGGCAATTAGTCATTGCCTAATAAATTAACATACCTACTTATGAATGGGTTACAGCAATCTGCTAAGGTTTTAATTTTAGATGAAGATGAGTCTTATTCCTGCATGATGTATAAATATTTAAGATGTTTTTTCAAAGAAAGTTTAATTTGAAATAAATTCGTTTAAATTGAATCGAGCCTAAAATCTATTTATTTTTCCAATTTGTATTTTTAGTTGTAGCTCCTGAGAAGCGCTATAGAATTTCTCTGCCGCTCCATAGCAGGATATTTATTACATTCGTACTAATTGACGCAAATTAATTTAATTTAAAAGAAAAAACCCGTTTATGCAGTGAAAAATTTAATTAAATTAAATTAAATTTGTGTGGATAATGTTAAAAGTTAAATTATTCAAATCAAGTAAAAGTTCTCGGTATTTTTGTTATTGCATAGTTTTACATAATATATATTTTTAAATTTTGTTTACTTACCCCAAAAGTTCCCAAATAAATAAATTCTACAGTTTAAAAAACACTGCAACAACCTCTAAGAACAATCGTTCTTGTTGAACATTTCACACACCGAAAGCCAAAAGCGAAACACCGTGAATGCGCCTGAAAAAGTCAGTGAGCGAAGCTAATAGAGTTTTGCGATGCGTATGCGTACTGTGCCGTTGGTAAACTAGAATATAGATGGGAACTATTTAACTCAGCTTTAGCTTGGAAAATAGTCATCGCCACAAAATAAATAACGTTGTTGCCTACGATAACAATCAACCTACAGTGCGAGTTCAATACCTACACCTACACCTTTTTGGCTAGTGGAGTTTTCCAATCAAGAAATAGTTTTGCCATTTCATAGTGGAATAGGATTTGGTAAGTGTGTTGTGATCGCTGTTGTAGTTACTCGAATCTGAATAACTTTTACTCTGATGGGACGTTTTAATATCTTTGTTGTGATTCTCCCTATATGTGAGTTTTAGCTCATTTTATACTAATTTCTATCTTAATGGAATAATATGTAACCGAACTGCAACCACCAATATAAAGATGCAGCTCGGGTTGCCAGATACTGTATAATTTATGCGCCAGCACGTTTCACAGACAGGGATGTTTTCAAGAAAAAGGGACAGAGAACGCTTTCTCAAAGGTCACATCTATTTTACGACCCTAGACCTAGCATCTGGATACCAATATATCCCATCATATAGAGGATCAATTCCGAAGACTGCGTTTGTAACACCAGATGGACACTACGAGTTCCTACGAATGCCATTTGGACTTGTAAATGCTCCTGCAGTTTTCCAGAGAACAATAAACCAAGTCTTGGGCTCTTTGCGATTCAAACCAGCTACGGCATATTTGGACGACATATTAATATCGTCAATATCATTCAAGCGGATTCGTCTCCATTGCCAGACCAATTTCTTCACTTACGAAGAAAAACTCCGTTTTTGCCTGGAATATGGAAGTTTTTCAATCAAGAAATAGTTTTGCCATCTCATAGTTTACTAGGATTTGGTCATAGTGTTGTGATCGCTGTCACTAAATGTTGTAGTCACTCGAATCTTAATAACTGTCTGTCCCTGATAGTGTACAAAAAGTCCCTGTTAACGTACAAAAAGTCTCTATAATCGTAGGACAACCATTTATTAACAACAAAAATGTTACGGTTGTTGACTTTAGTTTTCAGCTTCAAAAGTAACTTGGACTGTGATTTTACAATACGCCGCCCATCCCAGTCGTATTCTCGTATTAATTTCAAGCTGATTGACTTTGCCAAGCGTTATTTTCTGTCCTAGATACTTGCAGGAGTTTACTTTTTTCACCTGTTGGTTTGCTAATGGTTATTGTGTTCCATGATTTGATATAAACTCTGTTTTTGATGTTCATTTCTAATCCGATTTTCTTGGCTTCTTGGAGTAATTCTTGCAGCATGATGTTTAAGTCTATATGGCTGGAGCGTTGGTGAGTCCGAATGGCATTCTCAAAAATCCGAAATGGCCATTTTCTGTACTAAATGCCGTTTTTTCAATGTCCTTTCTGATCTAACATTTTTCTTATTTGCGATTCGACCTCTTGCTTATGAATGAAACCTTTATGTTTTTGTATAAGTTATATTGTAAGACCCTATGTTATCTTTATACTAATAATTCTCCTTTCCTATGTTAATTATAAGCGTACGCCTATGTCAATACTAATAAATATATAAAACTGCTTAATCAGCGGTACTGCACTGGTAGTACCACCACCTGCATTGGAAAATGCTTGGATCAGCAAATATTTATTATTTAAGCCAGAGCTTTCCAGTAAGGAGCGTTCATTTGTTTTCAGGTACGTTTCGTCCTTGTTAGGACTCACGCGTTTCGTCCTTGTTAGATTCCCAAACAGGGACCGTTGTGTTCCTGTATTCACGTTGGTCATTACCTGAAAAAATCTTTCTAACAATTTTCATTGCCAACGAAAGCTCAGACCAATCAGTGTAGTTCAACGCCGGTAGGGGTATTTGCCCTCGGAGTAGTTGTTTCTGACTGGTCAACGAAGTTCAATTTTGCTTGGACAGGGAGTTTTAGCCTATGTCCTTCTGATGAGTCCTAACAAGGACGAAACGCGTCAAGGATTGGCACGGGAAGTCTGGGTCCACTGCTCAGTGGGTCGATTCCCAAACAGGGACCGTTGTGTTCCTGTATTCACGTTGGTCATTACCTGAAAAAATCTTTCTAACAATTTTCATTGCCAACGAAAGCTCAGACCAATCAGTGTAGTTCAACGCCGGTAGGGGTATTTGCCCTCAGAGTAGTTGTTTCTGACTGGTCAACGAAATTGTAGGTACTGTTTGTGCATGAATTTACTTACTATTGTGTAACATATTTGATGAGTCATAAGTCATATGTATTTTGTATGTTTCAAGATTCAGTTGCTGAAAGTGGGGCACATTTCAATTTACAGATTTTCAATGTATTCTGTGACAATGAAGGTGAATATCTAGCTACAGAAATGAGAGATTTTTGGTATGCAAAAAGATAAGTCATCATTTGACAATTCCATGAACCCCAGAAATTAAATGATGCAGCTATATCGTCGTTAATTTGACAAAGGGACGTATATGAGAAATAAGCGATTTTTCGTTTTCAGGGAATTTATGTCGCAAAACATCAAAATTATACGCCCTCTAATTGGCGCATATGAACTGCCAGTAGTTTCTGAGTTATACACATTTTTCTTTTAGACGTATGTTTTGAAACAAGAAATATGTATCTTCCTAAAAGGCGTATATCATATACGCCTGTAATATTTTTTTTTAGATATGACCTTGAAGCTGGCGTTGGCGTATATAGTAATACATACGCCTTTTTGCTGACGCGCACCAAACCTGTTTTAAACTAAAATTTAGCTCATATCGGAAGACATTAGTCAGTCAATTTACTGCACTTGTTCGTGTTTTGGTTTGTGTTTTTATTGCTTTTCAAACAAACAAAGATGGATGTTCTAATTAAATGGACAGGCAGCACACAAAATATTGTGGATTCGCGACAGATAGTGGTTTTGGGCAAAAATAAAACTCTAAAAGAAGGCAGTTATGTGAAAATGTGGTAGGTATGAAAAAAAAAATGGTATTGTGGATCTGTCATAGCTGTAGAGAAAAATGAGGACTATGATGATACGTCAGCTACATTACCATATAGTGATTATTCTAGTGATGAGGAATCGAATTTGCCGATCAAACTATAAGAAAAAAATGATTTAAACAAGCCAGTAGTCGGCAATGAGGCTAAATCATAATTAGGTATAGTAGTAGAGAGTAGAGAAGCCCTAACGATAGGTATGCCTTAAACTGACATTTGTCCATGAAAAAATGTCATTTTAGGGAATACTTATCGTTATGTTTCCCCTAAAATAGTTGGTGGAAACGGCCATGAGTCAACCGTTTATTTATATTAAGTTTGATTCGTAAAGTTTATTCTTAGCAGCAAAACATAATACAATCAAAATTTTATTAATTTTAATATTATGCAATAAAAATGTATTCTAATTTAGGCAGATGTGTTTTTTAAAAATTCCAACCACTCTACCTTGTTGCCAATAAACTACAAAGAGAGTATAAAAAAAAAAAGTTGACAAACCTGTACAAAGGGCAGTATATGACTTATTTTGGGAGGCGTATGTGAAACGTGCAAAAATAAAATTTTGCAAAGTGGCGTAAATGTATTTTTTTCAAAATTTTCAGACTAAAAATGAAAGTATTCTACTTTTATGAACAGTATTCCAAATACCACTTAATAGCCTGTAAGTACACCAAAAGACATTTCAATATCTATTTTGGTTTTTGACTCATAACCTTTCAAATTTATTGAAAAAATCAAATGCTTGTCCTGAAAAATTAATAAATTCAATATACGCCCATTAGTGAAATTAACGACGATATATAAAAAAAAAAGTTGGAGGCAGTTTTAACTGCAACATTCTCACTTAGTTTGACCCCTCTAAAACTTTAAAAGAATTTGAAACACCATACGAAATGTGGCGTAGTAAAAAGCCTCAAGTAAAATATTCATAAGTGTTTGGTTCCATAATACCGTTTATAAGTACATAAAAACCAGGAAAACAAAATTTGATATCAAATCCTGGAAAGCTGTACTGGTTGGTTATGAACCAAATGAATACGAAGTGTGGGATGTAGATAATCATAAGTTTGTCCTAGTTAGGGATATTATTGTGGACATAACAAATTGGTTTTTGTCCTCCAAGCCTATTAATCTGCATAAAGCTGATTCCTCTGACTATTTGTCAAGAACAGTAGTTAATAATAAGCTTGAAAAAGTGAATGTAGAACACTTTGATTATAAAGCTGATTCCTCTGACTATTTGTCAAGAACAGTAGTTAATCATAAACTTCAAAAAGTAAATGCAGAACACTTATGGTCATAAAGCTGATTCCTCTGACTATTTGTCGAGATCAGTAATTACTAACAAGCTTGAAAAAGTGAATAGAACACTTTATTTGTAAAAGCTGATTTCTCTGACTGTTTGTCAAAATCAGTAGTAACTAATAAGCTTGAAAAGTAAATGTTTAACTTTTATGGTCATAGAGCCAATTTTTCTGACTGTTTGTCAATATCAGTGGTTAGTTAATGATGTTTGAAAAAGTGAATGCATAACACTTTGGTGATGAAACTGATTCCTTTGACAGTTTGCCAAGATTGCTGGTTAATAAATCTGATAAAGCAAAATCAGATGACCAACCAATCCAAGAAAGTAGCTAACTGTTAACCCACAAACTTATCAAACTATATAATGAATGATTATAGTAAATCTGTGGTTAAAACAGATCTGCCAAATGATATTCATTCAGTTTCCACTATAATCACGATTCCCAAAGTAGTTAAATTAAAATCCTCCATTGAATTGCATCCAATAAATTTGTTTTGCACTATTGACAAAATTTTGGAGAAAATGGTGTATATGCAACTTATTGAGTTTATAGGTAGATAGAAATAGACTATTCAGGGTTTCGAGTAAGTCAATATTAATAGTTGATAGTAATTATGAAAAAGTGAATGTGAAACACTTTGATGATAAAGCTGTTTCCTCTGATTGTTTGTCAAGATCAGTTGTTATTAATGAACTGAACTGAACTAAACTGGAAAAGTGTCAAAAATTAATGTAACAGTTTGGTAATTAGCCTATCCAAAACACATGACTTTGACAAGCAAACAAAGGGTTTGTGTGCCTCTTGGCGGACATTTTAATTTGAGTTCGACAGCATCTTGGATAGTCTAATAAAACCTTTCCCCTGAAAGTGGCAATTTGTCAAGATCGGCGGTTTAATTATTAAATCTGATATAGCTAAATCATATGAGTAACAATTCAAGAAAGTAGGTAAATGTTAACCCTAATAAACTCATTAAACTAAATAATGAGTATAGTAAATCTGTGATTAAAACAGATCTGCCAAATGATATTGATTCACTCATTATTGGTAAATAAAACGCAGTCATTAGTATCAAGACCCGAATATAAAAATATAGTGGATTGTAAATGGATATTTTCCATTGAAAATGATGAAATTGGAAAACCATTTAGATGCTCGTGGTTTAAGTCAACATTACTTGGTAGATTATAATGAAATATTTGCACAGGTGGCGAGAATCGTAGGTTTCTGGTTTATAATAACGTTTTTAATCAGTTTATCCTTTTAATACATCATATGGATGTAAAAACAGCTTTTCCGGATGGGATATTGAAGGAAGCCATTTTTATGAAGGTTCCTGAAGGCTGAAGGGTAGCTGGCTCAAGGTGTGACAAGTAAACCTCCTTACCAAGTTTGCAAGGCTTTGTATCTATGAACTAAAACAAACCACCAGATGTTAGTTTGCAATAATAGTAAAAGTTCATAAAGAAAATGGGTTTGAAAATTCATCAGTTAACCACTGTATTTATATCTTAGACAAAGGTGCAATATGTAAAATTATTTATGTAGTTCTGTAGATGGTATTTGCCATTGCAGATAATAATACATTGAATAGTTTAAAAAGGGATTTGGCAAATAACTGTTCTATGTTTTATTTGAAAGACAGTAAACTATTTTTGGGTAATAAAATTAAAAGGTAATCAAAAATAAAATTATCTACTCTTGATCAATTTTCATATAGGTACAGTTCAAATGTACATGAAAACTATTTTACATAAATTTAATATGCATGCCTGTTGTGCAATCAGCTGTGTCAGCACTCCACTTCCTAGTAAACTGAATTTGATTGGTTTAAATTCAGAAGTAGAACATGAGCCCTTGCCGGAATCTAATCGTCTGTTTAATGTATATTATGTTATGTATATCAAGCCTGATTTAAGTAGTTAATATTTTGAGCAGGTATTAAAACAAGAATAATAAAGAGTTTTGGCAATATTTGAAAAGGGTCCTTAGATATTTTAAGGGTAAAATCAATGTGAAGTTGACACAATATTTTACTTGTGAATGTATCAATTTCTTGAGTGATTCTATTAATCTTGACTAGGAAGGTGGAGATGATAATATAAACAATATAAAAAGCACATCAGGATATTTATTTAAACTGTTTGAAATTTGTGTGATAAGTTGGAATACAAAAAGGCAGTTGTCAGTAATGGCATCATCTACTGAAGCCGAATATATGGTTTTTCTTTTTGAAGAGGAACTTTGGTTAAAATCATTAGCAGAAAATATGCATAAACATTAATATCAGAGTCAATTATGACCTAGGAGGACAACAATGGACCTCAATAAGTATTACAAATAATCCAACAAATCACAAAAGATCAAATCATATTGAATCGATCGTAATTAATATAAAATATTAATTTGTCCACAGATAAAGCACTAGCAGACATGTTTACCAAACCATTGATGCAAGTGAAATTTGAGAAATTAGAATGGAATCAGGATTAGTAAATAAGTTAAATGGTTTGATTAGGTTTTTCTGGGTTTTCCCTAATCCCGAGCAGCAAATGCTGGACCGTTATCGCAATTTTCCCCAGAAAAGACACACATAAGGAAAGCGGGCCTATTTATGTTATACTAGGTTTAGGTTGTATTACACTTTTAGCATAATTGATCAAATTTTTTGAGGTGGCGTGTTGGATAAACTGATATTCATATCAGTGAAACAAAAATTAATAAATTACTTTTTTGATTATTAGCCTATACTTTGCTAATTTATATCGCAGCTATTGATGACTGAATGTGTTTATAATAGTTTTTATATGTAAGATAAACAGATGAAGAATCGTTTACTTAAGAAAGGGTTTATAATTATTTGTCTTGATGTTGAGTCAGTTCATATAGTTATTTCTACGAGTTCACGCGCTCTGCTTTCCACTCTGTGTTCGATATAATAAATATATTGAATATCGATAATTAACAAGTTCTTTTATTTCTTAGTCCATTTCCCAACAAAAGTCTCTTCAACTTCTTTATAACTTTTAAATGTTTGTCCTACATTAAAAACCATTTCAAAAGTAATTTCACGTTGATAAACCCACGAAAACACTCCACTACTCTACGTTCACACATCAACAAAACAAGTTAAAAACATGAAAAGTTAGGTTAAATTGGACTTTGATAAAACAAAAACCGCCAACGACTACATTTTTACCGGGATTTGCTTGAATCCCGGGTACCTAGTTCGTCATATAGGTGAAGGCATCAAAACTGCCGGTAAAAAAAGTGTTACCGGTACCGGGATTCTAGACAGCGTTTTTCATATTGTGTATCAAAAATCATACTTATGCATTTCATTTTATTTTAGCACTGTGTGCCAACTAATTGTGTCTGTCTCAATTTCTATTTAAGAATAATCACCCTGTATAGGTAATAGGTACAATACTTCACTTCTCAGAAACCCTTTTATCAGATTAGAATTTCTCTCAAAACACGACTGACTCACTGCAAGCACCTGGAAAATCATCAATAAAAAAAAACCTACTTTCATGTGTTTGTTTATTCTTGATAAATGAGTCAATATTTACAGGAAAATACAGGAGTGTACTGCGAATATTCACTTCCACCTGTAAACGCCGGTGACGCAATGTTTATAAATTTCGTTACAGAGTGCGACCTGACCTATGATTTGAACAGTGGACGTCCTACACAAGTCGCGCATTGAAAGTGAGTCCTTGATGCCAAATAAAAATTTTCCTAAATGCAATGTAGTAAAAGTTTTATGTTGAATAATTATTTAACAAATGGTCTGTCGTATGTTAAGAGGAAGTTTATTTTTAAACTAAAAATAATTTTTTATAAAAATATAAACTAGGCTTTAAGTATCACTACTCTACTTACTACATTGGCGCTTATTTTCAATATAATAACAATGAAGAAATGTTGTAGGTAAACAATAAAATAAAGGCCAAATAAATATTGACTGATGATGGAACACAATTTTGATCAATAAAGCTATCACAAACCAATAAATTACAAATTAAGTTATAAAGTTTGAAATCTAAGCTTTTTGCCTTGTCATTCTTGTAACAGCTAAAACTTCATCTTTGTTCATATCTTTATCGCCCCAACCCCAAATCGCTTCACCCTCATCATGATGGTGATCTTCAATTCCATTTACTCGCTTATGGGAATCACCTGTACGTTGTATCCTAAAAAATTAAAATGTAAAACTTCATGTTATATCAAATCCTAAGGATTAAGGTACCTCTTGTTTATAATTTCTTCTGAAGCAGTTTTCAAATCAGTCGCCCAACCGATTCTGGCCATGAAATCCAAAAAGCAAGTCGTAAAATTGAGCCTATAATTTCCCAATTCTGCCGCTTTGTAATCCCAAGGGAATATGTGATGATAATTGTGCCAGCCTTCACCGAAAGCTACTATAGCTACAAATTTGTTTTCTGTTGGCTTAATATTTCTAAAAATCACATTTAATTAAAATAAATCAATTAAGTATTATTTATTGAGAAATTACTTGTCGTAAGGTTTCATGCCCCAAATATGTGCAGCACTATTCACCAACCAAGTGCCATTTAAAGATATCACATAGCGTCCAATACAAAGTATAAAAGAATTATAACCATCTTCTCCCAAAAAGTACCATGGAATAAATGTTGGTACAATAAAGTTACACACAATTACCAATGGAACATAAAATCTCATTTGGAATTTAACAACTGGATCAGCAAGCACATCTGACATATCAATATTTTTTCCCTTGTTCAATACATCCGGATGCTTTTTGGTCATCAACCAACCAATGTGCGAAAAAAAGAAGCCCCTACTAGCATTGTGTGGGTCCGCATTTGTGTCTGTGAATTTGTGATGCACTCTGTGATCCCTTACCTAAAACAACTTATCATATAAACTATTCATTATAGAAAGAATTTGGCTTAAGTACCCATTCGTGAATATCATTTTGTAAAGCTGCACTTTGCGCAATCATTAAAAATATTCTCAAAGGCAAATTGGCCGTGTACGATCTGTGAGCCCATAATCTGTGAGCTCCCGCTGTGATGCCAAAACCAGCAAACATCAAATTGAGATATGCTATAGAAAATATTCAATTTATTTTATTTTTTTTTATTAAAAATTATTTTCACTTACTGAAAATTACTGTGCTGAATTTAAACTGAAACGTTAAAAGCATGAAAATTGAATAAACAGAAATGCTATGGAGTATTATAAATATTAAAACATTTTTCCAGACGATTTGTAGTTTTGCTTCGGATTTGTTTTTGTTTGTACATTGTGGATCTGTGATATCCTTTTCGACGTTTTTTTTGGGACCTTGTAGCATTTCGTAGGACATGTTTGAGAAAAGCAGGTTGGGTGCCATACCTACTTGACTGTTATCTGGAACAAAATGAGGAAAAAATTAAGTTCATGGTGATAGATCATTGGTTTTTGGCAGATTTTCATAAAGCTCAACTCATAAAATTTCTGTTTTTGCTTGCTTGTAAACTGCCTGTTCAACCTACATTTGAATACCTTAACCCAATCTTCATAGCTTGTTGAATACATGGGGTTGAATACAGGGGGACCCAAAGGACCCGCCAAAGATTGTAAATATACAGCGAGGGACACTAAACCATTCATAATAGAAGGGAACAATGAGAAAAATGTGGGGACTTTGCATCCTATGAGTATAGGTAGAATGCTGAATAACGCAAATATCAATGGAGTTGAAAAAACATCTAGAAAAGGAAAAAATAGAGTGGGAATTGAATTTTCACAGTATACAAATGCCAATGAATTCATAATAAACAAAATTCTTAAGGAAAAGAACCTTAAGCTCTACATTCCTGCCAGTTTAGTAACATGTAAAAGAATAACAAGAGGAGTTGATAGGGAACTGTCGGAAGAGGATATTATCCGAAGTGCTACCTCAGTTCACAAAGTTGTAGAGGAAAGAGAAGGAAAGTATTTGAACACGGAGAAATTAGGTATATTGACAAAGAATCTGTGATTTTGACATTTGAAGGAAAAACCATACCGAAGATTACTGCGATGTAATATAGTGAACGTGTACATAAGTCCAGTTATGATGTGCTTCAACTGCCTAAGATACGGGCATACCGCCAAACAATGTCGCAGCAAAAAAAGGTGCGCAAGATGTGCAGAAGAACATGAGGAAACAGCCTGTGAAGCAGAAAGTGGAAACTTGTCTGTATTGCGGTAAGGACCACAAAACTACCGACAGAAGGTGTCAGGAGTATCTAAGACAGAAAGCTATTAAGCAAATGATGACTACCTACAGAAAATATTTCATATTATGAAGCCAGACAATAATTTCCCAAAGGAGAAACAAGAATAGAAAGAGACATAATTGATCATAAAGACTTCCTAAGATTAGGAACCCCTAAACAAAGACAGGAGGAGAACAACGTAATTAACATCAATCAGAGACACATATATAGTGGTGCAGCGGGTTAGTACAGCACCTGGAAGAACCACATATGCTGTGACGGTGAACAAACTTAAGATCACTAATGGGATATGATCAGGGAAAACACAAAAGATGTCTGTTCCCAGATCCAAGTAGAACTCCAACATACAGAAACTCAGGCGCCAATTCGCCAGCAATAGGTACTTTCTCATTACAACCAAATCCAGTCATTGAAGTTTTTAAACAAGTCATAGAAAAAACAGCGTGCTCACAGGAGATAAAGCAATAATGGCTTATAGAAGAATGCCAGAAAGCCACACAAGACATTGTAGGACATGATCAAGATGCAGAAGTTACATACTACATGGAGGTTTCACCCGCTCAATTTAAAGAATCGTTATATAATCAAAGCCAGTATGAGAATAATACAATGGAATAGCAGGAGTGTTCTTAGTAACTACTCCGAGCTGAACACTCTAATTAACCAAGAAATCCCAGATATTGTGCTATTAAATGAAACTTGGTTAAAGGAGGATGAATCCTTTACCATGAAAAACTACAATATAGTAAGACAAGATAGAGCCGATAGAGAAGGAGGAATAGCCAGTATGATAAAATCACATATTCCATCTACAAAGGTCAAAATAAACAACAACTTCAATCATAAATTCCAAGCCATGGGAATAAGAGTCAACGGAATACTAAATATCAATGCATACAACCCCCCGGAAGTACAATTAACTATAAACAACATACTTCAAGTACTGAATGGGGTCAGCGCTCCATTCATCATATGATGGCAGATTTGAATGCACAACATAGCGCATGGGGATCGGAAATAAATAATTACAATGGAAGACAACTCTTTGAAATTGTAAATGACTTGAATTTAATAATAATGAATGGAGGTACTAGGACCAGAAACACCCCTCCTCATCAAAATAAAAGCTGGCTGGATATCACAATAACATCAGTAGACATAGGGCCTAGATGCAGCTGGAATGTGATAGGATAGAAGTTCCTGGATCTAGTGACCATTTTCCCACTAGGTGCCAAATAAATATAACTACCAATCAAAATGGAATGGCGTTAAACAAAGCAAGAAACGGAATATAAAAAAGGCAGATTGAGATAGCTACTACATTCAGTTTGATAGGAAAAAAGAAATTATTAACTATCAACAACTGACAGAGGAAGTTAATAGAGTAGGTGATGTTGCTATACCTTTAACTAGTAGAAATGATAATAAAAAAAGACGAATTCCCAAATCAAAGTGGTGGGGTGATGAATACGATGGAATGGTGAAGAGTAGACAAATGGCAATGAAACAATACAAGGATAACATGACTCTGGGAAAAATATAGCAGCTAGAACTAGAAGAATTATGAAAAACAAATACAAAGACAAGTCTAATGAATTCACAGAAATATTAAACAGGGACACCCCAATTGGAACAGTGTAGAGAGTGGTGAAAGAATTTGCAAATAATACACAAAATGAAAGATTGAACTCTGGCAACGAGGAATGGCTGGAAAGCCTATTGGATAGTCTAGCACCGACATATGTTACAACTTGGGAAGAAGCAGAAAAAAAAAACAAAACATAGACAACAAGATTTCAAAAGAATAACATGGAAAGAAAAGGAGTAGAATATTCAATACAAGAAGGACACAGCACCAGGGATGGACAATATTGCCTATTCAATGATCAATAGTGCACCGAAATTTATTAAGGAAGTCCTGCTAGCAGGGACGTAGCAAGTCAAAACCGGGCCCTGGTGCAAGACTACAGCGGGCCTTCTTCACCATGGGCATCGGCAGGTTCAAATGTAATATAAACGGACTGCTCCAAAGCCTTTGATAACGTAGATCATCAGATTGAGGAGAACCACCTATTTTAAATATTATTTATTCAAATCTTAACTTTTTAAAAAAGCGTTTACTGAATAAAAGTAAATGTTGCAACCATATAATGCGCCCCTAAAGTTTAGGTTTTGGGAAAACAAGAAAGTCGCGCCGCCACGAGAAGGCGTGGGTACCGAAGAGGGTAGAAAACAGAAGAAGAGAAACCAAGTAAGAGCTTAGATCCGCCATTGTGTGTCTTCCAATTTCTTTTTATTTTGTAATAAAAATTGATAGTAAAACCAAGTTTGTGTTTGGTGATTAGTTTGTGTAAGGAGCGTTCACAGGTTAGTTGATTAAATGTTATTTTGTTTTTGAGAGTTCGATTTAAAAACCAAAGAAATTATGTGCTGTCTTTTTGTGCTAGAATTTTGATTTTTTGATTCAGAGCGTGCATTAGGGCCTTGTTGATTTTACTAACATTTTCCTACCCTGACGAGAGAATATCCTATAGCAAATTGAAATAATTAATCTAGAGATATTGGCTTAAAAACAACTATAGCTGAGTAGCTTCCCGTATGGGACCTCAGTACCTGCTGGGAAACTGGCTAACTAACCAAAAACTCTTTAGTATTGATTATAGGTAGTTTTGATTGAATGTAGTGCGTGTAATTGAAATTTTAGCACAAGAACAGGGGCGGTACCTAATTTAAACTTTTATTGACTTAAATTATTGGATTATTGACTCACAATTATTTTTCTTACTTGACCTCAAGAATTCAGACTTTTAAGATTGGCAGAACTGAGTCTGAGGATTATGTTCCGATATCGAATGTTCTCCAGGGCAGTAACTTAGGACGACTACTTTTTGCCATTTTTATAAATGATTTATAGGTAAATCATTCATCATATTGGTTTGAAAAGAATAAAATGTTTCTTAATACAGAAAAATGCCTAACCATGTCCTACACTCAAAGGCTCAATTCATCAAACTTTTATTATTATTCAGATAATACAAAACTACAAAAGGAAGAGGTTGTTCCTTGGAGTGTATCTCCAAACAAAAAAATTCAATATTTATTATGACGATATGACTAATTGTCAATAGAGCACACAGGGCACTAGGATTTATAGTGAGAAATTCTAAAAATTTCAAAAACATTGGAGCAGTGATGGTATTGTATATCACGCTTGTTAAAACACATCTTAAATATGCATCAGCTATTTGGGCCCCTCAGGCTCTGTCTAATGTCGACTAGACAAGATTGAGAAAGTACAGAAAAGATTCCTACGGACCTGCACAAAACTCATCCATCTTATACCTTAAAGAAGAGGAGAGATCTGTGATATTTATTTATAATATTGTAGTATAGTGATTGCTATTCTATAAATTATAATACCCTTACTAGTTCCTAAAATCATGGATTATTCTATATGCATAAAGATAATCCCTCGCCTATATTCACATGCTGGCTATGTGCAATAAGTTTCTGGATAGGAATTATCTTAGTTCAGTAGATGCTAATCTACAAACCATTAAAAATTGTATTGCTTATAGCAATGCAGCATCTTAGTATTTAAGTCTGTTCCCTCTTACAGGTGGGCGTACTATACTTGATGGTGTTTGTCTATCTATCTATCTATGTGTAGTAGGTATCTATCAATAAATGAATAAAAAAATTAATAAATCCATTGAGTTATGGGCAAAATGACGCATGGCAAACTCGTAGGCGAGAAATTTTTTGAGGGAAAACAGACACTAGCTATTTTTGTAACAAGTAGTACCTAAAATGAGGTTTTTCGGCAACGGTTCTGAAAGTACATAGGTAGGTACTTTCCGGACAAATTTTGCTTGAGAATGTACCTATGTCTTTTACAGTCGCCGCGCCGGGACAAAATCTCACAGGAAATTTACTCATGACTCATGTAGGGTGTTCATTTGTACCAAATCTTCCTGATTTTTCGAGCATCAAGTACAAATGAATACCCTAATGGACTTCCACGATTGAAATTGACAATTGACAATATTGATACGAGTACTGGGACTCGGAGAGCTGACTGAAAAGAAAACTGTAGGGGCCCCTGTGCGCGGCACCACTTGCACGCCCTGTTGCTACGTCCCTGCC